GTGGGTGTGGGTGGCAATTACACCATCTATACCTACAACCACACCCACATCCACACCCCATATCCATACCCACACCCACACACTACACCCCACACGCACACCCACACACTACACCCCACACGCACACCCACACACTACACCCCACACCCACACCCACACCCACACACTACACCCCACACCCACACCCACCACCCGCACGTGGGTATATGGAAGCAAGAAATGCATTCCGTTGGTAAAATGGTACGAACTGTAGAACAGCTACTTAGTGACGATGGCAATCACTCATATCAATGAATCACATAACCCATAGAGAGTTATTAGACGCCTTGTCCACGTGCTTGCTTTATTATAGCAACTGAAACTTGCAATTTATGGAAATCTTCAGCGGAACCACCTTTATCAGGATGATACTTGAGAGCCAATTTCTTGAATTGTGAATTGATTTCACTGTTTGTACAAGATGGTTTAAGATCCAGAAACGTGTAAGCCTTCTCTAATGCGACAGTTGGTGGCAAATCAAAGAAATATTCGGTAAGCCACTTAGAGAGTGCAGCGGCAGCAGAGGACCCAAGGATACCTCCGGCGAGTCCACCAATTACTGTCCCAATGCCCGGAGCTATAAGCGTACCAATGTATACGCCAGCTGCACCCCCCGCAGCACCACCACCAATAGTCGAAGCAGCATTAACAATGTTTGCTACACATCTCTTGCCAGATATCTCACCCTTCCACCAAGCAGCGATGCTTTTTAAAGCTTCCCATGATAAAAGAACAGCGGCAATAGCCACTGGAGCAAGGGCACCAGCTCTTTCGGTGAATGCAAGTGCACGAGATGTGTAGGTAGCCAGTGCACTTTGAGGGCCGGCAAGACTCTTTGCTATGGTAATAATTTTCGAGACAACGACCGTTCTTTGATTGGAGGGAAGTGTAGCTAGAGCCTGTTGAAGATTAACGAGAGCAATATTGGACTCAGTATAATCTTTAAAAGTCATATCCAATGTGGGTTCCATTTTCCCATCAGGATCACTTTTTGTATAAGATTCCCAAACATCCGCCATTATTTTTAGGAACTTTGGGTCATTTTTTGTAGTACGAATATCTTCAAGGAACTGTAGGACCATTTTTTTAAATATGTTCTCCTTCGCGAGCAAAGTGTATAAAGTATTTATGTAAACACTGTCATTTCCTTGAGCAGCCAAGAAAGCCAGTATCAGAGCTTGATCTTCGTCATCGTCGATGACATCGAGGATTTTCGAAATTACCTAGAGGACACATGCAAAATACACAGAATGAGCGATTCATTATTTTTCGAAATGAAACAAAAGAAATTATTACTTTCTGTTGGTTTTCACTGCTAATCTTTTCAGTCATTGTTGATCGCCGAATATATATTGACTATGATGACAATTAGAATAAAGATAGAAAAAGGATGCTCTTGAATGAATAGCTAAAGCCAGAAGAAGTATAAGAGCTCACATATTCGATGAAAAATGATTGAATTAAAATGGCTTTTTCTGCTACAAAGGGTGTGGGTGTCGGTGAAGGACTTATCTATGCTCACTCCCACATCCACACCCACACCCCACACCCACACCCACACCCCACACCCACCAACACCCACACCCATTCGGACATGTGTGGATGTGAGGTAGGGATGGGTGTAGGTTTTCTCATTACAATTGCTCACATCCGCAGCTCATCCACTCCCTACACTAGAAAGCTGCGGGTCCATGTTTTTTTGGACCCGAACCCGGGCCCGGGAAAAGTTAAATTTTCAGACCCGGACCCGACCCGGCCCCGGTCGAGTCTAGACCCGGACCCGGTCGGGCCTAGACCTGAACCCGGCCGGGTCTAGACCCGACCCTTTTTTCACCAATGTTTGGCACCCTCTGTGTACATGAGCAGAAAAGGGAACACAATTTTAGCTTTTCATTGGCTACTTTAAAGATAAAATGAGTGTAAAATTACTTCTGATTGTTTCTTTTTCAATTTTGTTGACTTCAATTGTTATTATTATATATTTCCACTCGTAACTTAATGCAGACCGGGTCTGAATTTCCTCTTAGGTATAGACCCGGAGCCGGAGCCGGACCCGGAAAAAGCTTAATTTTCAGGCCCGGACCCGGTCGGGCCCGGGTCTGGAAGGACCTGCAGCTCTCTACCCTACACTCACACCCACCCTAAAATTCTAACCCATGTCTCAACTGTTTGTGGACTTTGAGTGACATATATAAGATCAAAATCGAAAATTTTTCTCCGGCCGGTTTCAGTGGTCCTCATGCACTTTCTCTCACGTACTCTGTTCTTTATAAGAAAAATAAAAACGGTAAATGTTTATCAAAGTTTATTTCGTTCTTTTGCAGCTGATATTATTCTCAGCATTAACTTATCTTGCTTAAAACAATGCATCATTCATTCGTTCAAAACAAACTGAAATGCCGTTCCGCTTCTGTTTCATTATCAGTTATTTGACATTGATTTCTCTTTTTGATGAGAACAGCGTCTGTGTTTATTCAACACCGACTTACCGTATCGACCTACATATCCGTGGCAATAGCTATGGAGCAGTTTGAATAGACTCAACGAGTCTTGTAACCTGTATTTTTATTAGTCCCGGAACCCTTTTTAACGATGGTGAGTCACTTTCTAATGACAAGAATTAAGTGAGAGTCGAATTAATAAGAGAGGAAGAATGTACGTTAAAATTAACGATGACATAAATCCATGGAAATGGTCGATAGCGTCTTCAAATGACAAATAATATTGCTCTGTAAGGCTCCCTTCCCTCAAAAATCGATCTCAGACCAGGAACATCCAAATTGCATGAAAGCTTCAGAGTATGTTGCGGGTGGTGTAGGAAGGGTATGGTAAAATTTTCAGCCCTATATCGTGACATTTGACAGAGATATTCATCAAACAAGAGTCGACAAAGCTCTATCATACCTTCAAGAATTCTCTGTGGACCTTCATCCTTTACATTTAACTTTTTTTTGTTTGAAAGCTTGTGTTTAGGGCTGTCTCCGCTAGTGACCTTTTTTTTCAAATTCTTACTTTTTAAGCGAAGAAACAGGATGATAAGTTCAATGGCTGAGCCTATAAAAGGTGGCGCTGTTTCTATAGAGGTGTTTTCTTATATGATACTAAAAAGATCAGTATGCTCTTCACGGAAAGTCACATCGCCGAAATTCGGCGAACTGCATTTCGACAAAGTACCATTTCGGCGATTTGACTATTGGCTATTTGTCATTTCGGCGGTGTCACTGCCGGCGATATGGCTATCAGCGATTTTGATGTCAATGATCGAATCGATCAGTTAATAACTAACTTAAGTAAGTGATACAATAAGTTATTAACTTGATCACGCTTGTAACCAAGTTGACCAAGTTAGCAACTAACTTGACTTAGGAACCAAGTCAAGTTTAGTTACTAGCTTGATTTTAGTGCTAACTCTAAGCTAGAAGATGATCTAAAAGCATTTGGCGATCTTTATTCCGATGATCTTTATATTGATGATCTTTACATCGATGATCTTTATATTAATGATCTTTATATATCGATTATTTTTATTTCGATGATCTTTATTTCAATAGTATCCAGTTGGTCGATCTTTCTTTTCGATACTGTTCGTTTCGGCGATCTCGTTTTCGGCGATGAGCATAACAATCCTCTTCGCCGAAAGCCATATCGTCGAAATAAAGATTGTAGAAAAAAAGTTTTGCTGAAAAGCTTATTTATAAAAAAATTTGGATATTTATATTGATAATCTCTATTTCGATGATATTCATTTCGGTGATCTTTTTTCTTCGATGATGTTCGTTTCAGTGATGAGACGTACATTCAAAAAATTTTTCGTTTTTTCTAAAAACAGCTTATTTTTCAAATAGAGGATGACGGAAAGCTTCAAACATTTTTTGGAAAAACGAAGTGGCGAGTAAAAATTTTTGTTGTTTATGAGAGATCAGATCACGGTTTATCTTCTCCTGTATTTACCTTAATTTCGATCACTCTGACGAAAAGTGACTCTTTTTGGGAGGACCTTAAGTTAGTATAGTATATGCGTATATGTTTTCTCTCTCCCCTGTTGTAGTTGCTTATGAGAATGAGACATATGACTACGTCTTATATTAACACGCGAATAAGTCCAATGCATTAGTGTGTACTTGAAAATGAATAATATACAAGTGAGTAGAATCTGGCATTGTGCAGATTGACGAATAATAGAGTTGTCATATTTTCCAAACCTATTAATTTCGTTCTCAATTTTTCTTGATTTAGCAGTCTATTGTTCAGAAATCTAAACCTTTCTTTGATATCTATCCGAAATAACCTTCATTATAGTAAAGAATATCCATCGCTGGAGAAAAATTTATCAAAATGTCTCTCTCTTTTTGCAATGCAAAAACGTTGACTTTCACTTTGAAAGTGTTGCATGACTGCGCATGCCGATTTGACAATTAAGAAATATGAAGTATACAAAGAAATGAGTTTCTCTCGCCTTTACTACTAAGAATACTGATGAGTGACAACTAAAAGGAAAAGAAAATAAGCTACATTCATTTGCTTTTTTTTGCGTGTAGCGTTATGGATCATCCGAAAACCAAATCCTCTGTGACGGAGGCTGTAACTGTCCGTTATGAGTCACGAGACCGGTGTCGACGTAGTATTGAAAACTTTGTTGTCATTTGGCTAGACACCAACGAAGATTATGCTCGACAATTCGGCGATCAATTGCGTCGTATTGTTAATAAACGCGAAACATTCACTGATCCCGATCAGTGTATTGATTATATAACTAACAGAGTAAATGATGAACATATATTTTTGATAACTGTACCAATATTCGGTGAGCTAATTGCAAACCGCATTCATGAACTTGTACAACTCAATTCGATTTACATTTTTAATGAAGCAAAACTTGATATGTTAGCGTCGGTGACGAAATATTGGAAAACGAAAAGGATCTTCACAAGAATTGATCTTCTTTGTGACCAACTCTCGGAACACATTCGACAACATAAAGATCATCTAATTGAATTCAGTTTATTTCACTCTTTTTCTACTATTTCGTCATCGACATCATTGACGATAGAAGACAAGTTGAATAAGCAAGACGCTTCAGATATGTATGCCCAATTGTTCAAGGAAATTATCACGGGAATGGTCTATACAAATAAGGACAAACAAGATATGATTGATTATTGCCGTCTTCAGTATGAAGGCAATCAATATCAGGTTGGCATGATTGATGAATTCGAACGAGATTATGATCTTCATTCACCTATCTGGTGGTACACACGAGATGGATTTATTCACAAGATGCTCAATAAAGCCCTATTTCAACAAGACATTGATACGATGTATGCTATGCGAGTATTTATTAAAGATCTGCATTGGCAACTCGTGCAACTCAGCAATCAAAATCCGTTACGTGAAAAGAACGAAATTTTGACGCTTTATCGTGGACAAAAAATGAGAAGAAATCACTTTGAAGATATCAAGACAAATCTTCGTGGTCTTATTTCATTCTATAATTTTCTTTCAACAAGTGGAGATCGAGAAGTGGCTTTATTATTTGCCGGTAATAGTTCTGCCGATGATACTCGGATAGTCTCTGTTCTTTTTCAGATCACGGTAGATCTGACAATACGGGCAAATATTCCTTTTGCTAATATTGATGCGTTGAGTAATTTTAGTGGTACTGAAAAGGAATATCTCTTCTCGATGGGTACGATATTTCGAATTGGAGAAATTCAACCGATCCAAAATGATAATGTTTGGCACATTCATCTGACATTAACCAATGACAATGATTCACAATTGGCGAGTCTCACTCAATACATGCGTCAGTTTTATTTTCGAGGATCCATTAATTTAGGTTGTCTCGGTCGTCTCATGATTCATATGAGTCACTTCGAGAAAGCTAAGCAAATGTACCAGACCGCAATTGAATCAATAACAATCACCGAGGATCCTCGAGAGTGTGCAGCATTACACAACAATATTGGATTGACATACAAGATATTGGACGACTGGAATACTAGTCTTGTTCATTATCGACAAGCGCTGAAGATTGAACGAAAATATTTGCTACCAAATGATCTTTTTCTTGCAGTGACATTGAGTAATCTTGCGACTCTCTATTTGCAAATAAATCAAATCGATATGGCCCTCAAATACACAATGCAATCCCTTCAAATTAATTTAAATGCTCCAGAGTCAAATGACGAAAATCTCGCCATTAATTACGAGTGTTTGGGTTCGATCTGCGTGGCTCAAAACAATTTTCTTGATGCACTCAAACACTACGAGCATGCACGCAGTATTCGAGTGAAAGCTTTTCCATCGATTAATCCGCACATTGGCGTATCCCATAACAATATCGGCTTTCTCTATGCAAAACAATGTCGATATATTGAAGCTTTGAATGAGTTCAATCAATGTCTTCAAATCGAATTGAGTTCATTGACATCGGAACATCATTTCATTGCTGTGACACTTAACAATATAGCATATACCCAAAACGCATTGGGACAATATCAACCAGCATTGACAAATAGCCATCGAGCTGTCGAAATCAGTACTAAAGTATTCGGCATTCAGCATTCAAGCACTCAAAAATACAAGCGAAATATCGATATGATTCATGAAAGCATGCTTTAGATCAATGAGGGTGTGGATATCGGTGTGGGTGTGAATGCCCGTCTTCTTTTCATCCACACCCACATATCCCACACCCATACTCACCAGAGATGGGATCGGTTCGATTAAAAAACCGAACCGACCGACCGAAACCGAAGCCGACTCGGCTGAAAATTTTAAAAATTCGGTTGATTACGTTCGATTCGGTTAGAGATTTTTTCGGTTCGATTTCATTAGGAAAAAATGCCAATCGATCCCGTCTCTGACATCTACACCCAACAACACATCCACACCCATACCCACATTCCACAACACACCTACACCCCACACCCACACTCACACCTACATCCGCACTTACAACTACACCCACACCCTGGATCTTTCTGATAGTTTATTGATTAATCAAACATATTTGAGTTTATTATCATATTAAACAAGCTATTTGATTTAATCATTCGAAAAATATTCATTTAATAGACTCATTTGTTTGGAAGGCGAGTTGAAAATCCTTTTTTCATATTATACTTCTAATCTGATAGTTTTTTTCTTTTAGAATTTATTGAATGGAAATTAAGTTTTAAGCAAAGTAATGGTGTAAAATATGTGAAAAATTGTCATTCAAAAGTTAAATCTAAAAAGAAACAACATATTAGCATTATTATTATTATTGTAATCGAAGAGGATTTTTTAAGTAATTTTATTTTAAACATATTTGTTCTTTTATTTGAAAATCTTTGAAAAATCTTTTAGCTAAACAAACATTATCTTATTCATTGTACATCATCAATCAAAGTTTATATAGCTTGAAATAATCAAATATTCTTACAGTATTATCTAGCACATTTTGATCATGCAAATGAACCATTATCAACTGCTAATGGCAGGTAATTCAACTATAGTGATAGCAAATAGTGAATTAGTTGAACAACCATTTATACAATCACAGCTATGATCAGTACGTTGGACTTCAATATAAGCATCATTTAATGATAAGATATGTGAGAATTCTAAATATTGTTAGAATAATTTAAGAAATTTGTTAAACATAAATATTATATCGATGAATTATAGATTTTTTTTCTTAATGTAAAATAATCTATTCAATTCATTCTTTGCTTTTTTTTCAAATGTTTATTAATAGTGTGATTAAATATACAGTGCACCTCAACAATATTTCTCCCTATGTATTTCTAACTTTGAACCACTATAGCTCGGTGTTTTTTAAATAACGAGTATACAATAAGAAAGTACACACTTCACTGCATCATATGGCCGATTGGATCATAAGTAACAAATGCAAATCAGACGACAAAAAATACGTCAGAAGAAAAGATGATATTTTTTTTACGACAATTTGTAATACGAGCAAATCTAATTTTTATCTTTCCGTTGTTTTTTTGCATCATATCCCATAAAAGTTCAATTGCTGTTTGAATATTTAAAAGTTTATTTATTGAACTTTTACGGGATAAGATGAAAAAAAACAACGGAAAGATAAAAATTAGATGTGTTCGTATTACAAATTATCGTAAAAAAAACATCATCTTTTCTTCTGGCGTATTTTTTTTGGGTGTGGGTGTGGCGTGTGTGGGTGTGACGTATGTCGGTGTGGGTATCAGCGTTCTTCCCAATATTATCCGCACCCATACCGACACCCACACCCACACCC